CTGTCTTTCCACCAACTTCTATGAAATCAATAAAGCTCTCCTTTATTTCACACACATCACCACATATTTTTTAAGTATCAAATCACCTGGCTCATTTGTTCTATATGCGACATATCTGAAAATGCAATCGAACATTATTGTATAATATTTGGCTTCTTTAATATAATTTAAAATGCTATTGCTAACTGTTTTCGCCATTATATCAGTAATTTCATTTTGAATTAGCTTTGTTAAATATGATACTTGTCCCTTTTTTAGGTGCTCTAACTGGTACTTAAGAATTGAGTTATGTTTGGCTAGCAGAGTCATTAAATTCAAAAAATTGCCTTGACTAGGCCGAAGACACTTTCTGAACAGACTGCTAGGGGTTTCATCACACCCATGGGAAGAAAGACAGCTTGTTGAAAGATACAATACAGCATCCCTAACTACCTGCAGGATCTCTCTCCGTTTTTCTTTCTCTGTGTGAATTAGTCGCTTAATGTCATGATCGATGCCTTGACACTGTTTCATTTGTTATAGGCGAATTTTCCACTTAATCATGCACTCTCTGTGGATTTCAGATGCTTTGTGCTCAAATAACCTTTCTGAAGCTTTTTTCCTGTTAATGAATCTTGTAGTACAGAATGCGGATGTAGCGGCAGTGGCATGTTTCTGGTAAATCTCACAGAGTGTACAATTATTGTATTTTTAAGTTTAGAATATTGTAGAGACATTAGGTTAATTGGAAAAGCCGGAGAGATGAAAAACTGGGCAACCGCCATCGCCGGGAATTGAACCACGGAGCTCTGGAATACCGACCCAGCGTGCAAAACCACTACACCACGAAGGCACGCTAGCAAAGCGGGAGAAATACTTTATATACTCCCCTTTTTAAAGGGTGACTAAGCTTTATTTTAGGGGACCCAATCGCCAAATCCTGGGTGTGAAGAAACCTCATCCAACACCCTTTTAGTTCGGGGGCCACTGTAGAGACATTAGGATTTTTTTTTGGAAGCAGGCAAGAGGAAAAATAAGCAACACCTTCGCCGGGAATGAAACCACGGATTTCTGGAATACCGGTCCAGTGTGCAGAACCACTACACGACGAAGGCACGCTAGGAAAGCGTGAGAAATACCTTATAGTATATAAGCTAAGATTTGTTAATCTTTTCATTATTTGTTAATGTTCTGTGCCACAATGAAGATGTCAGATGTCTTCCACCACGTTCAGTGGACCTAAGGTCTGCGTTTTCAGGATGATTTTTGGCTAATAGTACAGCTTGACTGCTTAAGAAAGATGGTTGTTGATCGTTAATTTTTTTTCTGTAATTGGCCAACTACCAGGGTCCGACAAATCAAAAGTTTTTCAGCCTTCTTTCTGCTGCCTACACGCACGTAAAAGAGAAAATACTTTATATCCTAATTTTATATCCTATAGATGTTCGTTTGAGCTCGATGAAGAGGGTTGCTCTCTCAGTTGCTGAAATGTAGTCTAAGGATGATAGATGAAGATTCTTCATCTTGGTCATTCAAATTGCAAGAAATATCAATATCCTTTAAAATCTCGGCACCATCGGAAGTTGCGGCAGGGTCTGACGGTTCGTCTTTTCTGTGAAGCCTTTTTTCATTTTAGCTGCAGTTTGTTTTCTCTGTTCGGTCCCATGTTTTGCTCTTTTTCTATATTCTGCCCCTAAGAGTTTTTTCTAGACGATTTCATGATTTCTTTTACCCTAAATAATATACAGTATAACTTAATAAGAAAAGCTAAAAATTGACGTAATTATACTCAACAGTCTTAGTGCCGCGTCGCGAATACGCGCGCTAACTAAATGGTTGCGTCTCGCTAAATATGGTGACGAATACTGGAAGTAGGCATATTAAAAGAAAATGAGAGAACAGAACCCCTCCAAACTAAAAAAACTTTAAAAACTATAAAAATAATAAACCCATTTTTTAAAACCTATGTTGCCGATTAGCTGCAAAAAATTAAAATACCTTACTTTATTTCTGTTGTATATTCTCGACGTACATTAATTTGAATTATTTCATTGGTCCAAGGTTAATTTGTATTGGGTATTAGGAAAGAGTTACAATTTACAATACTTCTCCATTTATTTCGCAAGGGACGTCGGTATGAAAACAAGACCCTCTATGCTATTGTTCTGTTTCTCATTTGAATATCCCCGCCTAGAGAGAGAGAGAGGATAACAGAGGGACTCAGGAGTCACTTACAGGGATAAAAGACCAAGGAGTTTACGGAGTACCTTTGCAATAAAATTACATGTTGGGTTGGCAGAGGGACAGGGTCGTCTGACGTTGCCAGTGACGTCTGGAGTCCCTCTATTGTCCTCTCTCTGATCTTATCACTAGAGTCGTATTCGCTGTACTTAGCTGTACTTTTAACCGTTTGTTCCATTAAAAGGTTTCCGAGTAATTAACTATATTTTTAAAAGAGGTTTTAAATCTGGCTTTAAAATACTAATGTTGTATCAAAATTTCACAATATTCCAAATACGATCCAGCGCCACGCTTGAATTTGCCGCCCTCAGAAGTAGCCGCCCGGGGCACAGACCCCGGCTTGCCACCACCCCCTAGATCCGGGACTGAATTTTACTTTATAACACACTCGTACATAAACATATTAGACTGAATTATAAACCAAGTATAATTAATTAGGTTGTAGAGTTGCGCGCCTCCAACCTGCACGCAACCAAGAGGTGACTGTTGAAACTGGAATTTAGACAGAGTCTTGCTAAGGGTTTAGTCCCTTTTTATTCAACTTAAGAAAATTACAATTGCGTGCTTTGACGCTCACAAACTACGCCGACCGGCGGTAAAATAAAAATAAGAACCTGAAAAGAAATAATAACAAGACTCTAACTACGAGGCTCTCTAAACGTAACTAACCTCATTGCGTTTTACAATACCGCTGCTAATTCAGCAAACTTTGAATATCATGTTGAACGATTAACAATTCTCCGAGGCAAGCACACAGGCCGAAACGCGGGGTTCTTCAATTTCTGGCTAACTACCTCCGCGCTCGTGAAGTAAGAACAGCACATCTCGAACTCGTTTCCTTTCTATTTAACTCAGAATACTTCCGCTGATAATTTGAATCCTTGCGCGTTCTACTAAACTTCACATACTCTGGCATTGGCAGTTCCAGGGGAAAGTAAGGCTTAACAGGAAAGATAGTTTAAACTTAAAATAAATGTTAGTTAAAATAAATATAAACCCTACAAGGTAATCCCAGAAACAGAATAAACTAAACCTAGTAAGCAAAAAATATATACATTACATTTAGAATTCTAAATGTTTACATAAACTTTTCTCGCAAGGCCTGCCGGGAAAAAGATGTCAAACGTTCTCTGGTCAGACGATTGCAAACGAACACTAACATGATTAATTTTGTTTTTAACAACCACATTACCGTTTCAATTAAATATCACAACAGTGATTAAATTTTGGAATAATTAGTTATAAATAATAATACGGGCAATTTAAGGCGTAATTTATCGGATGCACAATGACAAAATACTACTATTAGATCTGCATTTGGAATAATATTTAGCACTCTTTCAACTCATTAGACATTACGAACACTGATATTAATTAATTGCAAAGCTTAAACGTTTAAATACTTACTCACTACATATAACAGTGCAAAGTGCATGAGAATGATCTGCAAAATGAACAAAAATATTTCAAACAGTAATTGTAAACTTTTTCTTACTTACCTGCGCTATACAAACAACAAGCATTCAGCCATGTTTTTTTCTGCAACTAGCTTTAAAACACTTTTCTCATGATTGGCTAATTTCCAGTCAGTCACGTGATTCTTCCGCGCGGCTTCTGAAACATTATCTGTAATGCCACAGGCAAATCAGCTGCCCTCGCCACAGTTTGCTTTCAAACTGTTACCATTACAGGAAATTCTTGTGTAACTTTTTGATTTCTGTAACTTTACAAAACTTTTGCCTGTAAAGAGCGAACTTTTTTTTCACAGTGTAAGATAACATTGTATGTATACTACTGATTGATTTCAAAAGAGGATGGTAATCATAGGACTTAAGAAAAGATGGTTTGCGTATTTTTAGACAATGAATTCAAAAAAGTTTAATGTATGGGCGTGAGGCGTACTATAACACCTACAGGCACAACAAATGGGAAAAATAAACAAAGGATGGGCATTGCGGTGACGGATCGTGCAGCAACTTTTGAAACATTGGCACAATAGCTGAGGATAATGACACACACTGGGCGATGTTTCTTAACATCATTCATTGACAATTGCTGCATCGATATTTGTGAATCCCGTTTATCTTTATCATCGACATCAGAGATCGTAATAGTTAGAGAACGAAGACACTAAGACTATGAGCAAATCCTCTTTTTTTAATGAGCCTAGGTCACAGAATTTGCTTGCTTGGGTGCAATTTGTGGATCTGTGATTACCAGGTTTTAGCGGAAAACAAAAAAGGAAAAGGTGTTTTGAAGAACATCACAGTTACTGTATCAATCAACTATATGTATGGTGTACGCGCTATTCCCTCCTACGAACAGCAGATAGTATGAATAGTCAGTTTTACACGCCTGATTTATCCGCATCTATAGAACATGTGTGAGATATATGATTGCTAGAAGGTTGGCCTGTATGTCCTCATGCGCAGCCACCACTGACGAATTGTGAATACATATTCAGTCTGCACAGAACAAAATTCCATTGACAGACATCTAAAATCCACATCTGTTACTAACATGCCGTGTGATAAACTAATAAATTTGTCATTTCCCAATTTTGAAATTTTAATCATATCTTACATTGCTTTTGCTATAATGTCTTTAGAGTAACTAATATCTTTATTGGTGTTACGATTTGTCTAAAGACCAATTTATATATCAAACTTGTGATTTATTATACTTAAAATTGTTTAAGTATCTAATGAAATGCTCGACTGATTTTTTTAGAATTCTTTTAATTGCATTTATATTTACAAAAGTTCTTTTTGCTTCTAAAGTTAGGCGAAGCTCCCATTCACATCGCTGCCAGGGAAGGACTGTTACCGATGGCGCAGACGCTTTGCGCTTTTGGTTGCAAAGTTGAAATTCCTAATAAGGTATGTATTATGCTTGTGAAGAAGAAGGGTTTCTCAAAATAAACCTAGATGTGTAAAAATTACATTTGTATGTTTATATTAATAATCCTCCGATTATGAACAACGAACTTGTAGACACAAGAAAATCAGTGCACTTTTTGAGAAAATTGATTCGTTTTTATGACATGAAGTCCCATTTTAGGCTTTCCCGATTCAGGCTTTCTAGAGATGACAACAAAAATCGTGAGACTTCAGGCTTTTTCTTTTTTGCAGGTATTCTAGAACAGGAAATTAAAAATGCCACCATTTCACCCTTTCTATTTCTAACCTTTCATTGTAGATGGTGGGAAAACATTGGTGGGAGAGAAAGCTAATGTTTAAAAGAAGAGGCTCTAATAAATATAGACATGTAATTATTTCATTTAGAGCTTAGTTTTAAGAATATCTTTGAAAAACAAACCGTGCTTTTTTCATGCAGTTGGCTGAAACTGAATTTTTGAAAACTTCAAAAGGTTAAACCATCTATAACGTGTAAGGGAATATACTTATAATATATAGGTATATTCATATAAAAGCAATATGTCAGGGAAGTCGAGAGGAGCATGCCGAAAATCAAACTCCTTTGGAAGTTCGGTACTTAATACAAGCAATACCATATTAAAGAAGAATGAATATTTCTGTGCATCAGGTATTGCTAAATTGGAAGTTCTAAAATAAGCGAGCAGAATTAACTTCTGTATCGAAAATTCATAAGGACTCATTTTCCGTAGTACTGATTCCGAAGTAGACTTCGTAACGGACATGACGGAATCGGGTCTTCGAAGTTATCTCTGTAAACTGAAGAACACCAAGTTTTAGATTTTTCGACTACGTCGCTTATATAAAAGAAACCTAGTATTAGTGATTACATATACAGAAAATTTTCTTATTAGTGATGAGGGATAAATAGCTAAAGTATTTCTATATGAAACGAATAAAGGATACCAATCCTCATTTGACATATAATTGGACTTGGAAGTGCGTACAAACTAGAGAATTTATTATAGTGAGGTTTACTGGTAATTTTAAGTTTCCTGTGAAATCCTTTTATTCTATTAATAAATTATTTGATTTTTAGAGATCTGGTAAGTAATCTTATTATTAATTTTATTGTTTATAATTTCTTGATAGAAATTTTTGCAAATAATATCAAAACTGTTTTAACTTTGTCAATAGTGGTAATAATAAATTGGTTTTAAGCTCTTCAATACTATTCTTAAGTTCCTTGTGCTTAAAATCGATGCTATTTATATTTTTGAATTGAAGTTTATTAATAGTATTTTTAATGCTACTGTGAACAAGATGTTTCCATTCTTCAAAGGAGTTGAGTGAATAGCTGTACTTATAGCTGGTGATAATAATAAATTGGTCAATGTTGTGTTTAATTTTTTAGGACAAATATTTTTACTAAGATTGTAGATAATTCTGAACTTGGTGCCTAACTTCATGAATTAATAATATTAAACAAAATAAATAATTAAGCCGTTCAATTTAATTAATTAAATAACTAATTAAGTTGTTGGTTTTTAATAATATTGTTGCGTGCGTACGGGTTCGTTACGAAATGAATGCACAAGTCCGATGAAAAATGAACAAAAATTTATTATTATCACAACAAAAATGCTTAAACCTTCTCAAATTATCATGCAGTATTACAATATCTCACAGTAGTTATCTTTTAACTACTCAAATGTCCAATAGAACGTAATTCAAAACAGCTAAAGAACGCTAATCCGCGAATTCGCTACAATCAACAAGAGCAGTTTTTCTAAACAACAACAAACTAAGCAACTACTACAAACTGATCTTATGAAGTATGATCTTTACTACAAACTGAGATGTTTTCTTCCTTTTATAAGATTTTAAAATCACGTGCTAGAATTTTCCAGTACTTTCTCGAAATCAAAAAGAGATATTTATTTATTTAATGCTCGCGCTCTTGCATTTTCAATTTTCTGGCTTAGCTTTCTTTTAATGTTCGTCACGCGCTGCACTGCGCGAGAAATAAAACCATTTAATTTATAATTGAACTAACATTAGCTTTTCAAATACCAAATTCGTAACACTGCCCCATTCCCAAGGACTGCACGTCCCGGGCAGTACAATCCCTGGACAGGAAGCTAAATTTGCAACTGTGGCATAAATGCATTAATAAGCATTACATTACAATAATAAACAACATGAAAAATAAATGCAATATATAAAACAAACCAAATGCTATCAAATACAAATCAAATACTAAAAACAAATCAAATATTAAATACAAATCAAATCAAAGACACATTTAAAAACAAAATGGACCATGGTCTTATACTATTTACAATTATTTACATTATGTACTATGGCCATAGTAATGTGCTAACCTGTCGTAATGAACGACTTTAGGTTTAGAGTTCGAAGACTTACGAATCCGAACCACGACGTCATTCAGCCTGTTTAGGACTGTGTACGGACCATCCCAAGGTGACTGTAATTTCGGACAGAGTCCCTTCCGACGAGTCGGATTCCACAACCAAACCTTGTCGCCTTCGTGGAATTGATGTTCAGTAGCTCTTGTGTCGTATCGGGTCTTCATCTTCTCCGTCGCCAAGTTGACTCGCTCTCGTGCAAAGTTGTGCATCACTTCAAACCGGGCCTGGAGATCTTGAATATATTCCTCAGGCGCTGAAGAAGCATCCGGAGGGTGACCAAACAAGAGATCACAAGGCAGACGAAGGTTACGACCGAAGAGCATCTGTGATGGAGAATAGCCGGTAGTCTCGTGGACAGCACTGCGGTAAGCCATTAAAAAGAGTGGTAATTTCTTGTCCCAGTCCTGTTGGTTTCTGGAAACCACTAATGAGAGGTTATTAAGGATGGTTCGATTGAACCTCTCTACCATGCCGTCCGACTGGGGATGTAATGGCGTCGTTTGGGTCTTGTCAATGCCGAGTAGTTTGCATAGTTCTTTGATTATTACTACCGAGGTAAAATTCCTTCCCTGATTCGGAATGTAACTGAAGAGGCACTCCGAACCTGGAAATCCAGTTGCTGTATCATCACCTCAGCTACTGTAACAGCCTCTTGAATCAGGAATAGGATACGCTTCAGGCCACTTGGTGAAGTAATCAACGACAGCGAGTACATATTTGTTGCCATCAGCAGTTCGTGGCAGAGGTCCCAGGATGTCAAAGGCGATACGTTCAAAAGGCGCCCCTACGTTGTAACGTTGCAGCTTGCCTCGGCTGCGTCCTTCGGTCCTTCCGACCTGCACAGGCAAGATCGGCACCACTTTTGCACGTCATCCTTTGGCATTATTCCAGTAAAAGCGCTCATGAACTCTCTGTAAGGTCTTCATTATTCCAAAGTGACCTCCCGTAGGGCTGTTATGTAGTTCTTTAAGGACATCAGGAATGCGGGATCCTGGAAGTATATCAGCTGCCATCGGAACGTCTTCCCATCATCCGATTCGAATTTCCGGTATAAGACGCCGTTTCGAATGCGAAGTGAATCCCAGTGTGCCCAATATTGTTTGGTTGTACGACTACACATAGAAATGTCCTGCCAGGTAGGTTTTCTGTTTGACGACTCCATTAAATCAATTATGGGTTTAATGTCGCGGTCTTCCAGCTGGTCTTTCCTGACTTCATCATCATTCCACGGTTCTCGATCAGCCGATGTTGATGCTGTAACTTGTCTTGCGACCGGAGTCAGCAGCTCGTATTTCGCTTCCACCCTGGAACAATATCGGCCAGCTTTCATGGCAAGGTCTTTCTAGACAGGGGCGGTCGGCGTTTTCCGTGTGATGATCCCTTACGATGACGGATAGTGATGTCATATTCTTGGAGTCTCTGTATCCACCTGGCTATTTGACCCTCAGGATTCTTGAAATTTAAAAGCCAGGTCAATGATGCATAATCGGTGCGGAGCAGGAATTTTCTGCCGTATACATAGTGATGGAACTGTTCTACAGCTTTGATTATGGCGAGCAACTCTTTCCTGGTGACACAATGATTCCTCTCCGGTTTAGATAGGCACTTGCTCCAGTACGCCACTACACGTTCTTGGCCGTCTATTTCTTGGGACAAAACAGCACCGACACTTTCATTGCTCGCGTCGGTGTCCAGAATAAATGGTCGGTCGAGCTGAGGATACGTCAGGATTGGAGTAGATGTTAAAGCCTCCTTTAAGTTGTTAAATGCATCTTCTTCGCATTCTTTTGTCTACAAGAATCTTTGCTTGCTCTCTGTCAGCTTGTGAAGGGGCTTGCGATGGAAGAAAAGTCCTTCACGAATCTCCTATAGTAGGTGCAAAGCCCTAGGAAGCTTCTCAGCTGATGGACATTTTCGGGACGTTTCCAGGATTTAACCGCTTATACCTTTCAGGATCCGTGCGCACACCTTCTGCAGAGATGACATGTCCCAGGTAAGTCACTTCCTTTCGGAACAATTTGCATTTAGCGGGACTCAGCTTCAGATTGGCTTCTTTCAGTTTCTGAAGCACCTTCCTAAGATTTTCTAAATGTTCTTCAAAACTCTTTCCGACGATGATGATGTCGTCCAGGTATATCAGGCAGGCTTCGTAGGAAAGGCCTTTCAAAACAGTCTTCATAAGACGTTCGAATGTTGCCGGCGCATTACACAGCCCAAACGGCATCACCTTGAATTGCCAAAGCCCTTGTCCCGTAGTAAATGCCGTCTTTTCTCGGTCTTCAGGCTGTATTTCTACCTGCCAGTACCCACTCTTTAAATCAAGTGTTGAGAACCACTTGCTTCCAGAAAGAGTGTCTAGAATGTCGTCAATTCTAGGAAGAGGGTAATTGTCTTTCTTCGTAACCTCATTCAAGCTGCGATAGTCGACGCAAAATCTTGTTGAGCCGTCTCTCTTTCTGACTAGGACGATGGGAGATGCCCATGGACTTACTGAAGGCTCGATGACATCGCCTTCTTCCATATCTTTTAATAGTGTTCGTACCTCTTCCTGTTTAGCAAACGGTAGACGTCTTGGATGTTGCTTGATCGGGGGATGATCGCCGGTATCTATTCTATGTTGTGTCAAACTAGTTCGACCCACGTCAGAAGACGAGCAGGAGAAAACAATTTGAAGATCTTTAATGACGCGATCGGCAGCATTCCT